CGACAACTGCACGCGTGCACCATGCACTAGGTTGCTGCGGATCGAATCACCAAAGGTGCCGAGAAAACCTTCGACGTGTGTAGCTTTGGTCAAAATGTCGTGTTTATCTAAGTGCTATCTAATTAGGTCGTCCCATACGTTCCTGTCGACGAACATTTAACAGAAATTTAACGTCTCGACGAAGAAAAAGTTAAGTTTTCTCGTTTCTTTTTTCTTTCGGTAAGATTATTCCTTGCATTTTTATTTCAATATTTCTTCCTTTCGGTGTTGTAATTTAGATCGATATTTCCAACGAGCCTTTAAATTTGAAAAAAAAAGTTAAGCGTATTCTACTTCTTTCCAAGTAAAATTATTGTGTCGTCGCTAGAGAATTTCAAATATTTTTCCCATTCGGCACGAACTTACGGAATCACCTTTGGCCCTACGAGGATAAAAATTACTTTGGGACTGATCGGTGCAGTTTGATCTCGATCTAGGGCTAACTTTCATGCACGGTTTGCCTTTTTAACGGTAAAATAATTAACGAATTTGGGCTAGCTTCGAGAATTGAATTGAACGCTATCTGGTGTATTGAAGAACGAAAATCTGAAATCGGGCGTTTCACCAGCAGCAACCTAATGCACAACCTCCTCTGTCAGCCACACGACGTATCCTTCTTCTCGATTCCCATAGTTCTCTGTACACGTCACGCGTTTATTCTGCACCATGCATCCCGCGTGCACCGACGAGATCGATCGTACATTTCGTGAAAGAAAAGAAGAAGACAGGTTTAACGGAGGAAAGGAAAATGGGCTTGCTTAGAAGCCTGTTTCGTTTGCAAAACGTTCCACGTCCATTTTCGTAACACGTGATTCCGTCATTCGAATTTATCGAAGAGTTTTTCCTTTCTTCTGGTTGCATCCGCATGGAAAGTAGGATGATTCGAAGCCTTAAGCTCGAGTTTTCCGCAGCTCCTGGCTCGAAAATGTGCGCAAAGCTTCGAACGTCTTCGCGGACGAGTGGAGAACGTTTTTCGGAGCGTTTCGCGTCGCTTTCTTCGACTGTACGCTGCGACGAAATTTCCCAAGTAACGTGGTAATTCGAAATGTAGAACACGTAGAAGGTATGAGAATAAAGCTGAATACCTCGTTAGATTCACCTTCACACTTGTGGTATTTGCTTCTGTAGTGGACAAACTCGGACCGTGTTTTTATTTACAAAAGAATACCGGCTCGTGACGTACGGCTTCTCCTTCCCTCTTCCCTTGTTTCCTCTTCTTTTTACACAGTGGAACGCTTGAAACGCGAAACAGTTGGCGGTAACAAGAGTGGTTTCACGGCCAAGACACGAAGAAACCAGCGACATTTAACGTTTTTATACCTCGCGAAAATGTTTCTTTATTTTTTCCCGCTGTTAAATCGCACTGTCCTCGTTTCCGTCTCTCCCCCCTCTCCCTAAAAGATGTCATCGCTTGCGCGAAACGAGAACGTCTTATGTCCGAGCTCATCGTCGCGACTGAAATTTAAGGGTAACCTCGCCGAGAGTTACACAATACGCCGTGTGTATGCGCGTATCGTTGCGTGAACGAGAATTTTTTGAAGTGTCAAAGAGAGCGCGTGTATCGCCGCTACGTTTCACGCGGGAGCAGCGGAAAACAGCCGTGAGGTATAACCCTGTCCTCTTTTCTCGTTTAAGCGAATAAGATCGCGCCGAGGATTCTTTGCCGCCTTTAAAAATGACCTCGACGTGATCTTTCTCCTCTGTCCGACGCAAATCTTGGGGAATTCTAACTAAGTGTCACCGAAATCTTGGTGAAAATTTAGGAGAAAGTGACCACATTTCTTGCAATATTAATCAAAAAATAGATTACAGAAATATGTATTGAATAGTTGAGAAACTCACGAGGCACATCCTGGAACGTCCAAACAGATGAAAATGACGGATTTCAGATTTCTTACTCTAAGGGGGTATTCTAGTCTAGACTTTTCAAAGAAATCGATTTCTTTCTTTTACATTTTCTGAAAGTAGACATTTGCAGAAGTATAACTGTCGAAGGATTTTTCCGAATTCGTAAAATTGACGAAGTTGTAGATGGTTAAAGAACTCGTGTAAGTTACATTCTCGTGTAACCGGTATGAGAAACTTTAAACGCGTTTTTCTCGAAACCATGTTTTTCTAAACGGCTGACATGATATCTCAAAGGGACCGCACTGAATGATATATAATTCAGACAATTTCGATTACTTTCGCTTGAAAAAAATTGTGAACTTTCTTAAAACGTGAGTAAATATATATGCAAAATGCCGATACTGAGAAACTTATACTTTCCTTATAAAAAAATCCCTAAGAAGGACTAAAAAATGACACTCTAGACTAGAATACCTCCTTAAATTATAGAAATTATTGAAATGACTTTTGTTCAAATAAAGAAACAACTATATATGCCAATTTATTTTGCATTAATTATTCCAATTTAGATGTTCTTTATATAGTCTTCCCTAATTATACCAGAAGGGAAATAATTTACCACGTTGAACTCCGGTTGTTCTAGTGTTAAATAGGAAAAATTGAGCAAGAATTGGTTGCAATTTGAGTTCTAGAAATTAGGGCTAAACTCACAAAGGATTCGTCAAATTTTCAGCAAATTCAAAAATCAGGGTTAAAGTCACAGAAAATTCCTCAGATTTTCAGAAAATTCAAAAATTAGTGTTAAAGTCACGGAGGATTCCTCAGATCTTCAGCAAATTCAAGAATTAGGGTTTCAGAAAATTCCAAAATTAGAGTTAAAGTCACGGAGGATTCCTCAGATTTTCAGAAAATTCAAAAATTAGTGTTAAAGTCACGGAGGATTCCTCAGATCTTCAGCAAATTCAAGAATTAGGGTTAAAGTCACGGAAAATTCCTCAGATTTTCAGAAAATTCAAAAATTAGGATTAAAGTCACGGAGGATTCCTCAGATTTTCAGAAAATTCAAAAATTAGGGTTAAAGTCACGGAGGATTCCTCAGATTTTCAGAAAATTCAAAAATTAGGGTTAAAGTCACGGAAAATTCCTCAGATTTTCAGAAAATTCAAAAATTAGGGTTAAAGTCACGGAGGATTCCTCAGATTTTCAGAAAATTCAAAAATTAGGGTTAAAGTCACGGAGGATTCCTCAGATTTTCAGCAAATTCAAGAATTAGAGTTAAAGTCACAGAAAATTCCTCAGATTTTCAGAAAATTCCAAAATTAGAGTTAAAGTCACGGAGGATTCCTCAGATTTTCAGCATTAAAATCACAGAGGATTCCTCAAATTTTCAGCAAATTCAAAAATTAGAGTTAAAGTGACAGAAAATTCCTCAGATTTTCAGAAAATTCCAAAATTAGAGTTAAAGTCACGGAGGATTCGAAAGATAGTATCTACGAAGTGAAACGGGGTTATTTTAGAGCAACCGCAGTGATAGTACGTGATCAGACCGTTTTGATGAAGGGCAGAATAGACGAATGGCCACTCGGATCGTTAACGAGATAACGAGCTTTACTGAAATGACCCGGGAAAATCATTCTGTGGCGACACCATTAAATTCAAACCGTCCACCGACCAAATGAAACCCTTAATAAGACGTTTAGCCCTTAATGAGAAATATCAAGCACAGTATTTACACCTCGAGCACTCCGCCCTGTTTAATTTCTTCTTACAACACCGTTTTCACTTTCGATCGATAATTTTTTGAAATTCGACTCTAATTCTAGATCGATTTAAATATAAATTTCGTCCTGGCATTCTCCTGTTTCCTTCTGGCCTCGATCAATCATCCAACGAAGCTCTATTTATGCCTTACTACCGGGCTATATTTATCGTTGGAATAGCAGCATCTAATTTCGCGAATGCTACGGTTTTATTATCTAACGAACGTCAGTCGACTGGCTCGTGCATTGTTAATGGACACTGTCTATCCACCCGAAATGTCAAGCGCTTTATTTCCACCCACGAATCTATTGTTCCACTTGTGTACTGGTATTCAGCATGCGTCATACGTAGTGTTCACTGTCTATTCATTGCTGAAATTTCGTGCCATGACAGTGTAGGGACTGAACGTGACGAAGTAGGATCGAAACGAGTTGTATGATGTTTTAATATTCTTTGTGTTTTAGGTATGCTATACTGTTGCAGCCTTTAGCAACGCTTAGTCTTGTGAATCAGTGGTGAAATTAGAGTTGAAAGTAACGTTTATAATAATGCTCCGCAGAGAAATGTAGGAGAGTAAATTTTTCTGTCTAATTTTTTGATCTTTTTTTCACGTATACTGAGATTGTTGTGAAAAATTTACGCGAGAGTAAATTTTTCCTAATTTTTTAATTTCTCCTCGTGTATATTGAAGTAGGTGTTAAAAATTAACGACGAAGCAAATTTTCAGCCTAATTTTTCCCCAGGTTTTTAATATTTTTCATGTATACTGAAATTGTTGTGAAAACTTGACGAGAGAGTAAATTTTTCAGCATAATTCCTCCTAATCTTCTAACTGTTTCTCATGTGTACTGAAATAGATGTTAAAAATTGAAGACAGAGTAAATTTTTCAGCCTAATTTTTTAATTTTTGTCGTGTATACCGAGACAGTTGTGAAAACCTACCGACGGAACACATTTTCAGCCTAATTCTTTAATTTCTCCAAAAGTCACTTAAAAATTTCTAAATTAGAGTTCCCTGTCTCTCTCCCTATTAAACCCTCATGCCTGCATGCTAAAAGTAGGCCGAAATCGCGTCGAACGTCTGCCGAGCTCGCTCGTCAAAGGGTTAAACGTGGAGAAAAAAGGACACCGTTTGACCGGTTAATCCAGTGGAAGTTCTCCGGACGATTTACACCGGACGGACAGAATATTTCAAGCTCGAGTTCGTATCGGAAAAGAGTAAACGGCAGGGTTTGAAGCATTTACCG